TGAGAAAATGAAAGACTTTCCCTATTTAATGAGAAACTAAGCAATTCAAGACTCAGGGCTAACTGCTAGCTCACCCAACAAGCAATCTGTTACTTTTTTTCTGTGAACTCCTCTAGCTTTAATTCTGTCCTTTTCCCTCTTACCAAATAAAAGCATGTCCCCAAGAGCCCAGTTTGGCCATCTGGCCAACTGAACTTTGCAAAATATCTGTATATATAAAACGATATTAAACAGTGTGGTCAGACCAGATCAAGGCAGGCAGGCTTTGTTTTGTGGGAATATCAGAAATGAGCCTGGGGCAGTGAATAGCTCAGCCGATAGGAATTTTGCTTTCTAAAAGTGATTGCGGCTCATATTTACATGTTTGACATCAACAGTAAGCATTCTCTTAGGATTATTTTGTCTCGGTCTCTTGAACACATCAAGAATTGCTCTTGTTTTCGGAATTACGGCAGGCCACCGTGAGCATCTGCATCGATTGCCTAAGGCCACCACACAGTTAGGACTGGAGACAGTGCTTAACCCCGGCTACGTCCTCAGGCTCTCATTCTGAGGCAAAGCTCCATCACCCCCCTGAAACACAGGTGCATTTCTCCTCCCAGAGTCAAGCATGCTCATAGCCACACAGGACTAATTAGGGGAGGGAATTTTATAGACACGTCCTCAAAGAAAATACTATAAAATGACGACTTCCTAATTTGCAAAGCCTTCCTTAGTCCTCTTTTGCTTGTGGCTCGTACTACAGTAGTGCCTCACTCCGGGCACTAACACTTGACAGAGATCAAGTCCTGAGACCCTTGTCACCATCCCTTCTGCTAGGAGGAGCAGCAGTTAGAGGAAGTTAGGCTGCACCAGGGAGACTTCCCCAGAGCTCTTAGTTTTACCTGCTATAAACCAGGGCCTCTCGGTTATTGATGACTTTATCACATTTGTATCTCCGGAAGTCTTCCCAAGCATCCTTGATGGCAGTGACAGTCAGGATGACACAGACCGGAACCACGCTCACCTCTGGCTGGAATGCATTGACCACGGGGATGAAGTTCAGAATGGCAATGCCCACAAAGTAGAGATTGGCAAACCGGTGCAGCTGCTCAAAAAGGTTCTTGGGTATAAAGGACAACACCGTGTACTTGCTGGTCTTGACTTGGTTCCCACGGTAATGGCGGTTGGGATTTTCTTTGTAGGGCCATCCTTCGAAAGGCAGATTGGAGACCACGACCCTCTTCTTGTCTTCTTTCTTTTTTCGCCTCTTCCTCCCTTCCTTTCTCATCTCTGCTCAAGCCTACCTCTTCTTTTCTCATAATTTAATCTGCATCTTTCACTCGCCTTCTGTGGTGAAAACTTCTTTCCAAACTAACAATTGAAAAAATATTCTGTTTTGTTGAGAGAGAGAGAGAGAGAGAGAGAGAGAGAGAGAGAGAGAGAGAGAGAGAGAGAGAGAAAGAGAAACAAGCCAGTCTGAAGTTTGTATGGGAGAACTCTGATCAGGAAGGAGCTTGCAGAGAATGGGTGTGTGTCCAGGAGGTACTTCCTGCTGCCTGGTTGAGACTCCACCTGTTGGAATGTAGGCGGCATCTACAGGTGTCATCCTTTCCTACACAGGTGCACCAATGTTGGGTCCTAAAACCTACCAGGTTAAGAAACACAATGGATTTTCAGCCAGGGCACTCTGCAGCTTTAAAAATAGCATACATGCTTTTATTTGTGTGACATCACCTGATACCATCAAAAGAGCTTCTTAGGAAATTACTTTCCTGTGATGATCTAATCATCTTGGAGTCAAATCTTGGGCTTCTAGCCAAATCTTAATAATACAATGTCTGTGAGGCTAAGAATATGAGGGTTTCTATGAGCTATATCAAGGTTTCTCAACTTCAGTCCTGCTATTTTTGACTAGAATGTGTGTGTGTGTGTGTGTTCTGTCTTGTGTATTTAAGATATGTACTGGTACCCCCAGCTTCCATCCTCTAGATGCCTGCACTACCAACTGCCCCCACCTATCACCATGTGATCACAGGGTGGTGGGGGAGGGAGGAGATGTGAGTCAGAATCACCTCCAGCTGAGAATCACCGAATTAAGAAAACTCAATGTCTGAAAAAGTCCTAAGGAATCAAACTTTTCACTACCTAAAGAAACTGCTACCACTACAGAAGTCTGTGTGTAAATATATATATATGTAGTTCAAATGAAATTTTCTTATCTGAGCGGACAATGTTCCTTCCAGAGCTAAAGAAGATGCATCTAATTAACCCCCCAGCATGAGGCATTGGGAACCCTCTTTTGAGTTGTTGGTCAGAGATTCCCAAAACATCACAGGCTACTGCTAGAGGCGGATGATAAGTCCCTATTGGTGAAGACATCCTGCACTTTAGACATAGGGCCCAGGGATCCTTGAGCTGGAATTGACTTGCAAGACAGCTCCCTAAGGACTAGCTTTCTTGATACCAGAAGGTGCCATTCTAGCTTCTAAGGGAGGGAAGCAACTAACAGTCCTACCTAACTCTAATACCTATGAACCACAACAATGACCAGTATGGCACAAATAACTCTTACCATGTAATAGTGGCATGCATATCTTGATAGTAACTAATAGCTCCATCATTGGGTTAAGTCCAACTCAACAAGATGGAAATCACGCCCACTACTGGAAATGTAGCCAACTACCTAGGGCTAGTGACGTCATGGATCTTGGAAGAGAACCTACAGCTGCCACTTTACTAGTCCAGAATAACCCCTAACTACACTCTAAATATTTGTCTTTATATCCACATCTAAGTGTAGTCCTTATCCCTCATCAAGGAAACGTCTCTTCTCAACAGTTGGAGAACATTAAATCAAACCATCACTAATCAAAGTGTCCAGTCCCTATTGATATATCTACAAAACACTCCTTCACCTTAGGCTCAGAGAACTTTGGAGAAAACAGGGTGGGAATATTGTAATAACTAGAGGATCAGGGAGTTTTCTGTGAGATTGTGTCTCCTAGGAATGTCAGAAGCTACACCCAGGAAATCTCACCAATATGATTGCCCAAACTTGAGCTGAATAAGAACAACAGACATGCTACCATGTCCTGGAGAAAGTCCACCCAAGACCTCAACTCTTGACAAAGAACTACAGGCAACTAAGGAATGCTGAGAGTAGGAAAAAATGATCTTCCCCAGGGAAGAGCACACTAACTGGCTCTCTAATACCAATGGTGAGACCCGAAAACATACATTAAGTAACATTATACAGACTGAGCAGAGTATATTTCAGAATATGTATATACATATACACATGTAACAATAATTAATGAGAATAGCAGCAATGAATTTTAAAAAGAGCAAGGGAAGGTATATGAAGAGGTTTGGAGGGAGACAAAAGAAGGGGGAAATGATGAAATTATATTATAATATTAAAAGATAAAAGCAGTAGTTTAAAAAAGACTAAAATGTCTTTTTTTAAAAAAAAAAAAAAAAGAATATATGAGATTATCTCAGTGAGTAAGGTTACCTGCCATCAAGTCTGATGACTTAAGTTCAATATCCAGACACACACACACTAAATAAAGTTAAAAGCTATATTGCAAGCAAAGATCAGGCCCTTAAATGTGCTGATGAGTTTATTTAACCTGTTTGTAAGAGAGACCAGTAGTAGAGTCCCCTTACCTTTCATATATTTGAATGCTGGCACTGTTCATCTCTCTATCAAAGCGGTATCTTTTGAAGTCCTCTACGCCATCTTTGACCATGATGACAAACAGGACAATGGCCAGTGGTAACATGGTGATTTCCCTGTGGAAGACTTCCATGGAGGGCATCCAGTTCAGAATCACCAGGAACAGGAAGTAGAGGTTGGCCCACCTGGAGGGACAAACAAGGTGTGAGTGAAGGCCCTGGAGGAAAAAAAAGTACTCTTCTGATCTCTTCTTAGTTATTGGCTTTAACCAGATCAAACGCCTCTTTCAGTGCCAAGTTAAACAATGCAGTAAAGGATTTGAAGGCAAATGCTATAGATTTTGTAAAATCAATTTTTAAAATTACATATTTATTTTCCGTGTGTGTGTGTGTGTGTGTGTGTGTGTGTGTGTTTGTGTGTGTGCACAAGTGTGCCTGTGCCATGGTGTGAATATGGAGGCCAGAGGACAATTTGCAGGAGTGGTTTCTCTTGTTTCAACACGTGGGTCCTAGGGATTGAACTCAGGTTATTAGTTTTGGTGGCAACCACCTTTACCTTCTGAACCCTCTTCCCAGCCTTGTCTCTGCTGTTTACTAATTCACTGAACTGCCTTAGTTTGTTCTGTCTTGTGCATGAGTTCATACTGTCTATTTTAAAGGGCTCTTATTAATGTTATGTGGCATAAAAATTGGTTTTGTGTATACTAAAGGGTTCTGAAGCATAACAGCTGATAAATATTACAAAATTCAATAGATTTTGTGATTATTTTAAGTATATATTTGATTTATAATTAAAAACAATTTTTGCACATTCTTTGAAAAGAATGGATTCTACTTTCAAAGTTTTTAAGTGAATCGCATTTTTCTCTGCCACAGTGCCTTTGCACATGAAACTATGTAAGCAGAAACAGTCTCCTGGTTTTCTTCCCCTACTTCTTTGTTTTTATTCATTTCTTTAAAAAAAACCGTGTGTGTGTGTCAGTGTTATATGTAATGTGTTCAACATATATGTGGGTACACATGTTTGTGCAGGTGCATATACACGTGTGCATGCCAGATGTTGAAGTTTGAAGTCTTCCTCAATCACTCTCCACTTTACATAACGAGGCAGGGTCTCTTACTTGAAACCAGAGCTCACTGATTTCACTAATCTAAAGCCAGTTTTGCTCTGGGGCTCCCCAGTCTCCCTCTCCCAAGAACTGGGACTACAGGCAGGCAGCCTCACACTTGCCTAGCACTTAGAGGTGCTGGGAATCTGAACTCTGGTCCTCACACTTGGCTCAGTGAACACTTTAGTCCCCAACATCCCTGTGAGTTATCTACCCAGGCATCTATCTTTCCACTCAGTCATATCTGAATTGCTACTTCCTCAAGGAAGTCTTGCTGACAGTAGGTCAAATTCTCACTGGAAAGCACCATACACCTCTCCTTGAAAGTATTCTTCCTAGTTATAGGTTTGAATCAATTTAATAATTAGCATGTGTCCCATTCACTAGATGGTCCAATGAGTCCAGTGTTTCTTTTTTCCCCATGTATGCCTACCACCCAACACATGACATGACAAGTCATCACTTGATCAGTGAGAGAAGCCTGTTTCATATGTGCATTTGGATATTAAAGGGTGCTGCTTCGAGACCACCTTCTCTGAGTTTGTCTCAGTGGCGAATACTAGGCTAAGGCGTGGATAGTTGGGCGACCTAGCTGCATACCTATGAAACTGCTCAAAGAGATTCTGGGGCAGAAAGGTGAGCAGGGTGTACTTGGTTGTGCAGATACTGTTGCCTGGGTACCTCCTGGAGACCTTCTTCCAGTCCTGATGACACATGCCATTGTTGGGGTACACCACTCGCTGCTCTTTTGGATTGTAGCTCTGCCGGCCCATGTCTGGAGAAAGCAGTGGTGTGCTTTCTGAAGGGGACTGGGGGAAGCCATTTTGGGTTTGCCATTTCCACCGGAGCCAAGAAAAGTCCAAGGAGAGAGTCATTTCCAGAAGCAGGTGACAATGATCTGAAAACACACAGGAAGTTGTGGTCAGGAGAGATGAGTGGAATACTGACACATGAAGTCACTATGCTAAGGAGGAAAACACGACATGGGATTTGTATATGCAAGGTCCAATCTTAGAAAAATGCAAACAGTCCCTAGCATGCATTTGTTTTAGGGTCAGATATATTAAACAACCAATAAAGTCAATCTACAACTAAACAGTGTTGTGAACACAGGTAATACAGGTGTAGTGGCAGGTGTTGATGACCTAGTTAGTGCAGTCATAGAATAGTGAAAGCTTGGCCTGCAAGGATGGGATGCTAGAGGGCTAAATTTGAGCTCTGGTTCATTCTTAGTGGTAAATTTTCTCCATTTACCTTGTTCATCTTCAACTTCCCCACATAAAAAGAAGAAAGAGGGGCTGGAGAGATAGCTTAGTGGTTAAGAACACTTGCTGCTTTTGCAGATAACCTGGGTTCAGTTCCCAGAACTTGTATCAGACGGCTCATGATTGCGTGCAAATCCAGTTCCAGGGGATCTGATACTCTCTTCTGGGTTCTGTAGGCACTAGGTATGCATGTGGTATTCATACATGCATATGTATATTTAGGCATGTGCACATACACATAAAATAAAAGCAAACCTTTAAAAATGAATTAACTTTAAAAAAATGAAGAAAGATATTCTTACCACCCTTTGCTCATGTGATTAATGTTTTAAAACTTTTATCTATCTGTGTATGAGTGTTCTGCCAGCATGTCTGTCATATACTACTGACATGTCTGGTGCCTCTAGAGGTCAGAAGAAGGCATTGGATTTCCTGAAACTGGAACTGGAACTGGACTTACAGACAGTTGTTAGCCACCACATGGGTGCTAGGAGTTGAACATGGGTACTCTGGAAGAATAGTCAATATTCTTAACCCTGCCCATGTAGGAACAATTTTGAGAGGAAAAAAAAAAGGGTAGCACATAAAACTATGCTGACATATTTTGAGACAAAATGAGAGATGTTTACATTTTACTTTTAATTGATTTTTTTAAAAAGAAAAGTAGCATACTGTGTAATTTTTCATCCATATACATCATCATGCTTTGTTGTAATGGGGTCCCCTCCCACATGCTCTCTGGACTCACCCTCTTCTGGTCCTCTCCTTCTCCCTTCATAGCTCCCTCCCCCAGTTTTCATATCACATGTATTCCATTACCAAGAACTCTTTAGTCTTTGGGATTTCTGGATATAAAATTTTTAACCATGTAACATTTCAGAGCAGGACATCAAATGGATGGGACTGGGGGTGTGGCTCAATTGGCAGAGTGCTTACCTAGCAAGCACAGGCATTGAATTCCATCACATATAAGCCAGGTGTGGAGATACACATCTGTAATCTCAGCATTCAGGAGATAGAGGCAGGGGGATTTGCTGTCTTTCTCAACTATACAACAACTTCAATGGCAATCTAGCAGGTTACATAAGATCTCTCTCTCTCTCTCTCTCTCTCTTTCTCTCTCTCTCTCTCTGTCTGTCTCTGTCTCTCTCTCTCTGTCTCTCTCTCTCTTTGTGTGTGTGTGTGTGTGTGTGTGTGTGTGAGAGAGAGAGAGAGAGAGA